CTAAGGAGGCGCACTGGAGGACATTTTGCCAAAAATTGAACCCTGATACTCCAGCAACTGAAGTGTGGAATCAGATTAAAGTCATTAAAGGAGACAAAATAAAAGAAAGGATCCCTACAATTCAGGTACCCACAGTGGCAATTACTGATAAAGATAAGGCAGATATCTTCGGACAGCACTTCTATGAGGTCTGTTCCAATAATAAACTAAATCAACAAGAACGGAAAAACAGAATGGCTCTTAATAAAGAGATTATGACAACTAAAATCACAATTAAGGAAGAAAATTCATACCTAGATGCAGATATAACTACTGAAGAAGTTAACTCAGCAATACAAGCCAAATCTAACACGGCAGCTGGGGCCGATATTCTAAACTATACTATAATGAAAATGCTACCAGCAAAAACCATTAAACAGATTACTGATTTCTACAATGAGATCTGGAAAGAGGGAGAGATTCCAAGAAGATGGAAGGAAGCAACTATCATACCTATTAAAAAGGCTAATAAGGACCCTCAAAAAGTAGACTCATATAGACCAATATCTTTAACATCCCACCTGGGGAAAATATTAGAAACAATCGTCAATAAAAGAATAACATTCCACATGGAGAAAAATAACCTGTTTAGCAAAACTCAGGCAGGGTTCAGATCTAACAGATGCACCCTAGATCAAATTATAAAATTAGAAGATCATGTTAAAAAGTCATTTAAAACAGGAGGTAAGACAATGGCAGTGTTCCTGGATCTGGAACAGGCATATGACCAGTGCTATCGGCCAGCAGCCTTGTTTAAAGCAGCTAAACTAGGATTTACCGGAAGAACGTATAGATATATCCGAAGCTTTCTACAAGAAAGAACATTTTCAGTACTAGTTAATAACGAAAGATCACAAACTTTTGATCAGGTGAATGGAATCCCTCAGGGTGCTGTAATATCCCCTACCCTGTTCAGCATATTAGTAAACGACCTTGATGATGCCATCACGAACAAGGACACGGGACTAACTCAGTTTGCGGACGATTGTGCAATCTACCACAGCCATAATCAGATCCCCTGCGCTAAGAAAAGATTGCAGAAAAGTCTAGACGAAGTTACGCATTGGATGGGAAAATGGGGATTTAAAATCAACGTCGACAAAACAGTAAGCATGATATTCAACTTTAAAAGACAGCTTAATTATGACCCAGAAGAAACGAGACTCAATATTAATGGTAGAACAGTTCAATGGACGAAATTTCTAGGAATGATTCTGGATGAGCAAATGACCTGGGCTAAGCACATCGATGATCTCGTAGTAAAGTGTACAAAGTACAATAATATGCTGAAAATGATTAAAGGAAACGGATGGGGAGCACACCAGGACACCCTAATACAATTTTATAAAGCTTTCGTTAGGGGCAAAATGGAATACGGAAGCATAGTATACGAATCAGCATCAGAGAACAGCAAATGCAAACTTGATAGGATTCAGTGCCAAGCCCTGACTTCCATCATGGGCGCTGGCAAAGGGACATCGAGAGAGGCCATGGAGGTAGCACTAGGCATCACACCGCTTAACCTCAGAAGGAAACAACTAACTTATAGCTATTGGATGAAAGCGGCCAACGATGCCAGACACCCAGCTTCAGACGCTTTTCATCATAACATTACCCACCTAGGTGACAGACCGGTCAGAGACATACAGAGACCAGCAGCCTGGGACGCTGCACTAGAAATTAACGATGATGAGGACTTAGCTAGGACTCTAGAGGCAAGCGTTAGGTTTGTCCCTCAAATCCCTCCATGGAGACTAGAGCTGCCCAGGACAGACATGAGTCTGATTAAAATTATTAATAAGAATACTGAAACATTTGAAGCCAAAGCAATAACAGAAGAATACATAGACCAGATCCGATCAGACAATCTGGTTGCATACACTGACGGATCAAAGAATGAAGCAGGAGAAGTAGGAGCAGGAGTAATAATCCCACAGTGGAATATACAAAGAGAATATAAAATAACAGATCATGTGGCAGTATGCACAGCAGAACTAGTCGGCATAATGAAGGCACTAGAGATGGTAATTAATAAACCTCCAACTAAATTTACCATACTGACAGATTCATTGTCCTCGGTGCAGACGTTAAAAACACATAAAACTAACAGTAGACCAGATATTAAAGAGACAATCCTAAATCTAACAACTCAGCTCAAGAATAAAGGATGCCAAGTCACCATTGCATGGGTACCAGCACACAGAGGTGTAATTGGCAATGAAAAAGCTGACATAGCAGCCAAAAAGGGAGCAAAATGTGATGTTTTAATAGATGTAGGACTTGGAAAAACAGAAAGGACCAGCATAATCAAACGACATATAATTAAAATGTGGAAACTGCAATGGCAAAGGAGCAATAATGGCAGAGATGCCTACAATAACCTTAAAGAGCCCAGCCTTAACACACAGGTACGGGACAAACTGAAAATTCCAGCCAACAAACTTCTATGGAGAGCTAGATTAGGATGGCACCCAGAGAAATTTACATCTCCACTATGTCTGGACTGCTTTCAAGATAATACTCTAGAGCATTATATAATAAACTGCACTAAGTATAAATTGGAAAGGAAACCCATTGAGGAATTTTTTCTAAAACGCAAACAACAAATTACTGTAAACAAATGTTTAAATGTAGAAAGCAATAAAGACATCCAAAAACTGGTTAAACAATACCTTATTAAAACAAATCAAAACTAAAAAGACCAGATTAGGGATTTACTCAGTATAACAGAAGGAACTGATGAGATGGTAACCCCGAACATCCTAGAGTCAGAGAGATAGTGTAAGTATGATGAGTGCATAGATGTGAACATGGACACATACACAAGGATGAGTGCGTGTAGTATGAGTGCATTTGTGTATAGGATGGATACATAAGACACAGTGTATGTAGGTGGATGGTACGGAATCATATGTGGACGGAACAGTGGGAATATAGTTGTGCGAAAGGTACAGATGAATGAGTACATGGATTTAAATGTATTACTGTATGCATGTATATGTGTGTATGAGTGTGCATGTGTGTATATATATGAGAGCGTGTATACTACTAATATATTTGTGAGTGTATGAATGACAGTGCAATCAAAGAAACCATAAACTGTGTTGCTGTATGTCTGTTCATTAATGAGAACAAATGGAATGAAGGGTGTAAGCAGCAAGAACGTCATCAACGCACACCATCCACCAAAACATGATACGTCAGTACCGGACAGGTCACATACCAGTAACAGGACATAACTTAAAAGTGACACGACCAGACGAAATTACAGACAAAGCGACACAAAACACATAAGACATGGAAGAGTGAATATCACTACGTGTGGATGTACTCGTTTTTTTTTTTTTTTTTTTTTTTTTTTTTAATGAATGAATGTAAGCACAGGCATTGGTAAACGCATATGAAAGAGTTTGCGTGTGTACGTAATGTCAATTAGGTATGCATATACGGATAAGTATGAAAGGACGTACAAATATGTAGTGTTGTCTGCATGTATGAGTACTCGAGTGCATGTACGCATACACCTAGTTGGGTGCGTCCATATACTCCGGGGATTCATAAACAAAACCATCCCACTCCACAACATGCATACAACATGCACATGACCGACAGGACTCGTAACAAAAATATGACTGACAGCAAATAGGGAATACAAGTGACTCGATAATGACAGGACTAGAACGCATAGCCTCCAATACCACCCCATCACTGGGATGATAGCAAAGGTTGGTAACGTGATACACATAGTCCCGGCAAAAAGCCACGCTAGAATCCAGCAAGACGGCAACGACGAGAATTGACTGAATGGCCTCCCGCTCCCCTTCCCCCCACCTTTCCCTAAATCTTTCGGATGCACTATGAGTTTTAACCCCCCAACCCATTCCCACAGAGAGCACTTGAGTTCGTTGCCCAACATGCCACAACAATTCTCATCGCCGATCATTTGGATCTCAAAGCGTGAGCTGGACGGTCCGGTTATATGGTATTTACGTACACCGGAGCTTAGCTATCAACACAACCCGATCACATAATAACAAATGACGACTGGACTCGCTTAAGACTCCACACAAACTCCCACACACATATCCAATACATGACTAACCCGTTCATATTACAGGAAGACAACTATAAGACCACTATGGTCATACGCGGAAAATTTTCACATTTCGGAACTATTCACATTCAAAAACTGTTTTCAGTACTTTTTGGAAAATTAAAATACTCAAAATTTTAAAACAATAAATGGTGGCCGAAAGGTCGTTGTGTTTGGAAGCTCGCTCTCCTTCGAGATACGCCTAGCCAGATCAAAGGGAGACAGAACAAACAGGAAACACCACGAATGAAGAAGGAAGACTTGCACCAGTGACAACAGGACGAGCGGTTTGATACGGAGGGAAGCATTAAGCCAGAAATGGCACAAACACCAGTATTCAGTCACGAAAGTGACGCAAATAACCCAGACCACAAATATAGGCGGAGACTGTTAGCAGCCTAGGCTAGCTAGCAGCAGTCTGAACGTGGTCGAGCTTTTCTTTTTTTTTCTTAAAAGGACTTGGACTTGGACATATGAGCCTATCACTATATGCCTGTTGGGCCACTGCAGGGAGAAAAGGTCCTTTCTTTTGTCATAGCCGAAATCTATTTCGCAGCTTACAAAATAGCTGAATTCAGCGCCTGGCGGACTTGTGATTGTCTTTATCAGTGGTTCTCAACCTCGCTAAAGGGGCGACCCTTTTATAGTTCATAGTGTTGTGGCCTCTCCCAACAAAACAATTTTTTTCATTGCTACTTAACTTCAGTGAATGTGTGTTTTGCGATGGTCTTTGACGACACCTGCGAAAGGGTCATTCGACCTCAAAAAGGGTCACGACCAACAGGTTGAGAACCACTGGTTTATATGATACCGATATTGAGCTCCCAGGCGTTAAATCAAACAATTGAGATAATGAATATCTCCACAGCTTCATCACGGACGTTTTCCTCTGGACGTGCATGCCAGTTTCCTGGACAAGTCAAGCTGTGACTCGCACAGTCGACGACAAAGTCATGTCAGCCAAGACGTTGAGATTCTTCTCAGAAAGAGCCAGACGCTCATCGATTCCTTGGAGAGGCACAGAGACAGTGAGGCTACAGAGGATGCGCCAAATATATTTAGGTATTTGTCTCTCCGTTAGTCACTCAACCTGTTTATCTGTCTGTTTATTTGTCTAGCTAGTAATTTTCTGTCTGTCTGTCTGTCTGTCTGTCTGTCTGTCTGTCTGTCTGTCTATGCGTCTGTCTGTCGGTCTGTCTGTCCGTCTGTCTGTCCGTCTGTCCGTCCGTTTGTCGGTCTGCCTGTCGGTCTGTCTGATCGTCTGCCTCCGTGTCTGCCCCTGCTTACATGCATGCATGCTTCCCAATCATACGGTCTTTGGTCACAGGCGAATAGATCAATTTTATTCAATCTGTTTATCTCTGATTTTAATTATTTCCTTTTCCCAACTTCCCTCGTAAGTTTGATCTAGGCAGCTAACGCCACTTGCACCGTCCCCGGGGCAGCAGCGCCTACTTTAGGAAACACTGGTCTACATGTACCTGCTTAAATCGCAAATGGCTGGACCAGGGTCGTAATTAGATATAGTGCCGTTTGGTCTGAAAAACATAGAAGGGATTTCACTTTATTATAAAGCACGGCACAGTTTTAGCAGCGTCAGAATTTTAAGAGGATAAAATATAACGAGTAGTAAATAAAATGGTTATAGTTAATGCTTGTGTCATGACAAAACGGTCTGAGAAAAAGCGGACCTCCAAGGGAAAAATTAGGAAGAACATTTCCCCGGGTTTCAGGACTCCATTGTGAGGGAAAGCTAGAATAGACCCGCTGCCTTCTTAACAAGCATTTCGTGAGAGGACTAATTTGGGGGCTTTCTTTAAAGTCAGAGTGCATCTGTCTGTGTGGTATGAACCAACAGTCTGCATATAGATAAGTCTGATTTGTAGAACGGATCTGCCCTCAACACTCAGGCTCTGGAGTAAGTCTAAAGTCCAGAGGTGAATAAAAAAAAAAAAAAAAACAGCACTTTCCGCCAGAGTTTACAGCCGGTGAACGCGAAGAAGAGACATAATATTACGAGAAGAGTGAAATGCTGGGCCCATGTCTGAAATCGAGAAAGCTGTATGTCATAGTGCGGAGTGGAGGAATCGAATGCGAGCCCTAATTGACGTCTAACGGCACACGAAGGATGATGATGTATCATGACACACTCATTAGATCAGCGTTGTGGCATACAATTGATTCGCACCTTACGGCCTTTCCAGACAATAGTTTATATATATAATATATATATATATATATATATATATATATATATATATATATATATATATATATATATATATATATATATATATATATGTATACACATATGTATACTCCTAATTTAAACGTACCGCGATCGAAACCCACTGCTGGCTGCGTGAATTTTATCGTGATATGGGGCGTCGCAGGTCGACCCAGCTTAAATGGGTACCAGGATGTATGTCCTGGGGAAGTAAAGACGACCGGCCTAATGCTGACCACATTAACCGTTAAGAGAAGTATTCCACAATTAGCATTTTGTTTTAGGACCATTGTTGTGAACATTTATGTTTAGTCTATGTCTTTTCTGACGCTCAGCTTTTATCCTGTCTGCAATAATTTCTTTCTTTAATCTCATTTCCGTCTCTACGTACCCCCTCCACTCAACAAGGTCTATGGCATTTTGTTCCCACAAGTACACCTTAGTACCTTTATCATTCATGAATCGCTTGCACACATCTTTAAATCATAGTAGAGGTCGGCCTCGACATTTTGTTCGCGTCTTTAGTTCAGCACTCAGTTAAACAATCTGACAGTACTGATGTTGAAGTTTAGCTGACAGAAGATGGAATGGTAAATTCAATGACAACATAGGGGTGTCATTCATCCTAGATACAGCACTGGCTAGAACTCATGTCTGATATCAATGTGTTAAAATGAGCGTCAGGAGTAGCCGTGGTGGAGCGACTAGACGCTCACTGCGGATCGGAATTTCGTGGGTTCGTTCCCTGGCGGACTTTTTTTTTTCAGAAAGGACCTTGGCCCCCAGGTCGACCCAGCCTTGAGTGGGTACCGCGTGCAGTCCCGTGAAGTAAAAGCGGCCGGTGTGATGCTGAGCACATAACCCATCTTGTGCCGATTGGTCTATAAAGTATAGGTCTAGCCTTATGTGCCTTATATGCCCTGTACGCCTAAAGCGCTGCAAAAGGTCCCTAACCTTTTACTTTTTTTTTTTTTTTTTTTTACAAATGAGCGTTGAAGCGGGAATTTGTTTTAGGACCAATATTTTATTAAGAAAAGATATAAAACAGAACGAAAAGTATATTAGCAAGCTTCACAATATAACAAATACAAACAAAACTTGAACGTTGGGCTATTGAGCCTTCATCGGCACATACAAATAATATGGACGAGTGGGACAGGTACAAACAGATAATTAGCCCTCTGCCACTCCACTGACGAAGTGGTCAACAATACACAACGTCGACTTTACTTTATATTGTAAAAAATGGGTCCATTTCAGACTTGGTCGACCTAAGAGCCTAGATTAAATGTTTGAAAATTAGCCACCCTGATGTGAAGACTAAACCTTCTGCCTATGGAAAGCTCCTAAATACGGCACTGTCTACAATTTTACAACTTGCCATCTTTCTCATTTCCCAATCTAGTCATGAATAACACTATCACTGTTTTTCAAAATAACTCAACAAACGTCTTAATTTGGGACGCAATTTGTGTGTGTGTGTGTGGTTTTTTTTTACGCCTGCTGTCGTCGTAGGCCCTAATATGACCTAACGGTTGAATGGGGTTTCCTGGACTTGGGCCCAGGGGATTCACATTCGAATGGTGGCATTTTGTGTCACACAGTGTTCTTAGCTCGTTGTGTGATTTTGGTGTAGTTGAACTTCAATGATTCTAATTCACGGCTACAGCTGGGGAAGAAATTGACATTTACAATCCATACGTAACCCACAATTAATAATAAAAAAAAAAAACCAGTAGTAAATTTCGTCATTCGTTTATTACTTGGACTAAAATATAATTTTAAAAATGATGCTCAAATCACGATAGGCTTAGTTTCTGATTCTGCGTATCAGCTGGAGAAGTCTGATTCGTGTCCGTGTGTAATGTTTATAATATCATTTAGGTCTGAACGGCTTAGTGTAGTCAGTGTCATCGATCAGAGCACTGTGGATGTCAGGAACTACGGAGAGAAAACCTGACGGGACAACGCTGGCATTAGTGACAGACAGAAAGGTAGATGATTTTAGATGATGCTGGCTCCTGGTAATTGGCACACCACCCAGAGGAATTTGCCTGATTGTGTTTGCCTCAGAATCGATTGTGCCTGGCAAAGTTTATTATAGGGAAGACTGCAGATTTCGGCGTCTGTGAAATAGGTGTTGTGAACGCCCTTTGTAATTCTTGAGTGCCAGGTTCAAATGCCAAGTGCGGGAGATTCGGCAGCAGACCGCCTTTTCTTGATTTCAAATGTGGTATTGAAAGCTCACCGTTCAGTAAGTAGTTGCAAACTAAAGAGCGTAATATTGCCTAATGAAATCACAAACAACAAAAAAATGCTGGGGTTGGTTCTGCAACGTCCCGTAAAGGACACATAGCTAACTTTATGATATACAGTTGTTGATTTTTTTTAACACGTTCAAAACTAGGGCTGTTTACATTGATGTTCGAGAGTGCTACTGAAGTTTGAATGTGATAGAACGAATGTTAATATGTATCATGGATAAGGAGCTTTACGTTTTACAATTTGCATTGTGTTGTTTTGGAAATGTTATTCCTGGAATTTAAAATGGTGTATGCACCATTTAGTGTCCAACTATAAAATTGGGGTTTACAAATAAAAGATATGTTGGTAGGATTACGAATTCTTGCCTCTTTGTTTCTCTCCCCCCCCCCCCCTCTTTACTACTTTTGTTCCTGTTGTTATTCTTCTTTTTCATTATCATCGTCATTATCTTCTTCTTATTTTTTCTTCTTCTTCTTCTTCTTCTTCTTCTTCTTCTTCTTCTTCTTCTTCTTCTTCTTCTTCTTCTTCTTCTTCTTCTTCTTCTTCTTCTTCTTCTTCTTCTTCTTCTTCTTCTTCTTCTTCTTCTTCTTCTTCTTCTTTTTTTCTTTTTCTTCTTCTTCTCTTCTTCTTCTTCTTCTTCTTCTTCTTCTTCTTCTTCTTCTTCTTCTTCTTCTTCTTCTTCTTCTTCTTCTTCTTCTTCTTCTTCTTCTTCTTCTTCTTCTTCTTCTTCTTCTTCTTCTTCTTCTTCTTCTTCTTCTTCTTCTTCTTCTTTTTCTTCTTCTTCTTCGTCTTCTTCTTCTTCTTCTTTTTGTCTTGTGACGGTATGTTCGTTTTGTTATAGTTCACAGATAAGCTGCAATATCTGTCACTCACGGCCAATACATCCACTTTCGGCAACATGTTATTCAGGACTCCTTTATGACAAGATTATAATCGGGCAGTAAATCTATTCTACCAATGTCTGCCCCCCACCCTTCCCCACCCCTACTCCCACTTTTTACTTTTCCCATCTACGCTGTCCCCACTCTTTTTCCCCTACCCTTTCTATTGTAAAAATTTAGGAGCTTGTTGAATCCACCATATAAAGGGTAGATCTGTTGTGTAAGAAGAACAAATTACTTAACAATTTTGCTCAGATACCTATTAACGACATAAAAGACATATTTCGGTACTTCATGCTTGAATATCAAATGGGGTTTGCGATGTACCGGACCGATATATCTTTCATGGAAAACGGATTTCTTCTACCAGCCAAGCAATCTTTGTTTTAGTCTTTGAGTTTTCGCCTGTATACAACTACGAATCGATGACGTTTGTGATATATTAAATCCCTCATTGTTGGAAATGTTGCAATCTTTTACTACGGCAAAAACAATTTAAGTTAAGTGGTATGACAGAGAGGTTAAGGCGTGCTTATTTTGAACTGCGAGTTGCGTGTTTTGAAACAGTAATACCTCTGTTTACTACAGACTATTTTCAGGCTGTATACTGAGGCATCCCCGGCTAGACTCTAGATGTGGACGATATAGCAGCAGACTGCTGTGCGTTGTTTTCAGTGACAGTATAGAGG